CCGGAGACTGAGATGACCGATCCGGACTCGGATTGTTCTTGTCCCAGGGATGATGATCTAGTCAATGAGGCCAGTGAAGGCGGTGCCAGGCTCACTTCTAATGGTGCAAGCTGTGCCGGTTCCACGAATGGTGCCGAATGTAGCTGCAGTGCCAAGTCACCCCAAGAGACTCTTGGTGTCGGCTTGTCACTCACAGTGCTCGGTACAGAGCCACGCGGAGCAGAGTCCTGTGCCAGCTTTCTCCATGCTACCCTCAGTGCCATCTCGGCCCTCAGTGCTGTTGGTAAGGCAGGGGCGACGCTTGATGCCATTCTCAGCACCGGCTCCGGTCTCAGTGCCGCCAGCAGCGCCACTGCAGGTGGCGATGCCGCATGAACTCTCGATGCTGCTGCTGGCGCCAACTCGGGGCATGGTGCTGGGCAGGACACCGGCGCTGACATCGACGAAGGCACCAGGCTAGGCACTGATGTACTTTGGGCCTTAACAAGTTTTGCCGCGCCATGCCTTGAAGCGAGTCTGGACATGCTCGGTGCATCACCTGCGGTTACACTCCGTGATGGAGTGGAGCTTTTAGTCTGGTGGGCCTTACGGGGCATCGGGTAGCCCACCTGTTGTCCCGCCGGTGGCAGCTGAAGTGCCTTGTTGAAAAGCAACATTTTCAGGCACATCTCCCTGTCGCACCTGGCCCTGGCGGTCAGCTTCGACCATTGGCCGCACTTTTGGGGAATGTGGCCTTCCCCCAAGCAGCGTATGCATCGGGAGTGGCAATCCGATGCCGGCATACCTTCGCCACATGAGACGCATTTTTTGAAACCCGGAGAGCTGGGCATGGTGAAGGTTGTCCATCGGGTGAGTCCTAACGTGCCCACGGATAACGGTAATGGTGAACAGGAACCAAACTTAGTTTAAAAAAAAAAACTAAGAACTAACAGTAACTTTAACGAACTATAGCTATGAGGAAGGGGACTAACTGGGACAAACGAGTAACTAATTTCTAATTTCTCCTAAGAGCAGAGCAGGAGCTTGTTCCAACTCTGTCTGCAGCCATGGACGGTTGTGGAAGAACTGGCGCATCGGACCGCGTGACAGAAAAAGCACAAACAGTGCATGGAGTCTTCTGCGCATGCGTGGTCCACCGGGGGCTATTGCTGGGAAAAACTCTCCAGACTGCGGCGCTGGTACGAGTCCAACACCTATAGTGGAGCACCCACAGGGACACTACTCAAAGAGGAACAATTAGCAGTGTCTGCAAAAAAAATTTGTGTATTAAGGCCACTTTTAATAAACTTTAATTATTTTCCCCCCACCCTGAAGCACAGCAATACCAGAAAGAGACCCACTTTGACAGTTGAGAAGCAAGTGGCAAAAGCCCTGTGGAAACTTGCAACGTCAGATGGGAATCAATTCAAAGAAAGTAAGTCTACAGTGGAGGCTGCTGTGATCCAAGTAGCCAAGACAATCAATACACTTCTGCTGCAAAGGGTAGTGACTCTGGAAAATGCAAAGGGCATAGTGGCTGGGGTTCTCTAACTGTGGTGGGACGAGTACATAAACTGCAAGGAGTACTTCTCAATGGCAGGTGCTGGTAGATCACAAGAGACATTTCACCATAAGCATAGGATGGTTTGGAAAGGTGCATGACATACACATTTAGCAACTTCGGTCTCTTTGGAGAGGTGCAAGACAAAACTTTCTTCCCAGACTGGAAAATTACCATTTTCACGAGGCATAAGAGAGCGGTCAACAAAGGCTTCCCTTGTCAACCGATCCGCATCTAGACTGCCATGCTGTGCCGGATCAGCTGACTGTTGGCACAACGTGGCAGCCATTTTTATTTTAATGAAGCGAGGATTATTTAAATCCCCACTTCATTGACTATGTCGGGTCCCAGGGATGATGATCTAGTCAATGAGGCCAGTGAAGGCGGTGCCAGGCTCACTTCTAATGGTGCAAGCTGTGCCGGTTCCACGAATGGTGCCGAATGTAGCTGCAGTGCCAAGTCACCCCAAGAGACTCTTGGTGTCGGCTTGTCACTCACAGTGCTCGGTACAGAGCCACGCGGAGCAGAGTCCTGTGCCAGCTTTCTCCATGCTACCCTCAGTGCCATCTCGGCCCTCAGTGCTGTTGGTAAGGCAGGGGCGACGCTTGATGCCATTCTCAGCACCGGCTCCGGTCTCAGTGCCGCCAGCAGCGCCACTGCAGGTGGCGATGCCGCATGAACTCTCGATGCTGCTGCTGGCGCCAACTCGGGGCATGGTGCTGGGCAGGACACCGGCGCTGACATCGACGAAGGCACCAGGCTAGGCACTGATGTACTTTGGGCCTTAACAAGTTTTGCCGCGCCATGCCTTGAAGCGAGTCTGGACATGCTCGGTGCATCACCTGCGGTTACACTCCGTGATGGAGTGGAGCTTTTAGTCTGGTGGGCCTTACGGGGCATCGGGTAGCCCACCTGTTGTCCCGCCGGTGGCAGCTGAAGTGCCTTGTTGAAAAGCAACATTTTCAGGCACATCTCCCTGTCGCACCTGGCCCTGGCGGTCAGCTTCGACCATTGGCCGCACTTTTGGGGAATGTGGCCTTCCCCCAAGCAGCGTATGCATCGGGAGTGGCAATCCGATGCCGGCATACCTTCGCCACATGAGACGCATTTTTTGAAACCCGGAGAGCTGGGCATGGTGAAGGTTGTCCATCGGGTGAGTCCTAACGTGCCCACGGATAACGGTAATGGTGAACAGGAACCAAACTTAGTTTAAAAAAAAAAACTAAGAACTAACAGTAACTTTAACGAACTATAGCTATGAGGAAGGGGACTAACTGGGACAAACGAGTAACTAATTTCTAATTTCTCCTAAGAGCAGAGCAGGAGCTTGTTCCAACTCTGTCTGCAGCCATGGACGGTTGTGGAAGAACTGGCGCATCGGACCGCGTGACAGAAAAAGCACAAACAGTGCATGGAGTCTTCTGCGCATGCGTGGTCCACCGGGGGCTATTGCTGGGAAAAACTCTCCAGACTGCGGCGCTGGTACGAGTCCAACACCTATAGTGGAGCACCCACAGGGACACTACTCAAAGAGGAACAATTAGCAGTGTCTGCAAAAAAAATTTGTGTATTAAGGCCACTTTTAATAAACTTTAATTATTTTCCCCCCACCCTGAAGCACAGCAATACCAGAAAGAGACCCACTTTGACAGTTGAGAAGCAAGTGGCAAAAGCCCTGTGGAAACTTGCAACGTCAGATGGGAATCAATTCAAAGAAAGTAAGTCTACAGTGGAGGCTGCTGTGATCCAAGTAGCCAAGACAATCAATACACTTCTGCTGCAAAGGGTAGTGACTCTGGAAAATGCAAAGGGCATAGTGGCTGGGGTTCTCTAACTGTGGTGGGACGAGTACATAAACTGCAAGGAGTACTTCTCAATGGCAGGTGCTGGTAGATCACAAGAGACATTTCACCATAAGCATAGGATGGTTTGGAAAGGTGCATGACATACACATTTAGCAACTTCGGTCTCTTTGGAGAGGTGCAAGACAAAACTTTCTTCCCAGACTGGAAAATTACCATTTTCACGAGGCATAAGAGAGCGGTCAACAAAGGCTTCCCTTGTCAACCGATCCGCATCTAGACTGCCATGCTGTGCCGGATCAGCTGACTGTTGGCACAACGTGGCAGCCATTTTTATTTTAATGAAGCGAGGATTATTTAAATCCCCACTTCATTGACTATGTCGGGCAAACTAGTTTACATGGCTCCGTCGATGGAGCCATGTAATCTAGACATACCCTTTTTGTTGTACTGGGTGGCGAATAGGTCTATATTGGAGTATCCCCAGTGCTCAAGGAGGTTGCAGGCCATGTCGTTGAGCAGTTCCCACTTGTTTTGTGGGGGAAAACTCCTGCTGAGGACATCGGCAATAGTGTTGTTCTTACCAGGGAGGTACGCCGCAGTAAGGGTGATCCCATGTCAGACAGCCCAATTCCATAAGTGGATGGATTTGGTGCAGAGGGATTGAGAACCATCCTGCCAGTTGATGTAATAAACGGTGCATATGTTGTCGGTGAGGATCTGTACTGTGGTAACTCGTATGATGTGTAGAAAGTGTTTGCAAGCATTGAACACCACCCGCAATTCAAGGAAGTTTATGCGCTGCAGGGACTCCTGAGGTGCCCACAGACCTTGAGCATGATAGTTCCGTAAGTGGGCCCCCCAACCAAGTAAGGATGCATTTGTGGTGAGTTGTGCAGCTGGTTTTGGGCCTTGGAATGGAACGCCCGATAACATTCTTGGGGGTGCACCACCACACTAATGAGTCCCTAACATATCTGGGAACAGCAACTGCCTTGCGCGTGCTCTGGATCCCTGGCACATATATAGTAAGTACCCAATGCTGAAGGCACAGTAAATGGAGCCTTGCGTGAGACAAAACATAAGTAATGGCAGCCATGTGTCCCAGCAACTGTAGGCAGGTAAGTATGGGGGTCTTGGGAGTGACCACCATGGTATGTACCAGATCTTGGATGGTACGAAACCTGTCTAGGGGTAAGTATGCTCTTACAGTTATCGAATCCAGCCTCGCCCCGATGAATTCCAGAGATTGGGACAGTGTTAGGGAAGATTTTGCCAGGTTGATAATTAGCCCCAGGGTTTCAAATGCTGCCCTGGTTGTGTTGACCACCAACGTAGCCTCATCTAAGGTGGGGGCCTTCAATAGACAGTCATCCAGATAGGGGAAGATCGTGATGCCAAGATGTCAAAGGTAGGCAGCAACGACTGCTAGGGTCTTGGAAAATACTCTGTGCTGCTGAGAGCCCAAACAGTAGCACTCTGTATTGCTAGTGTTCCATGCCCACTACGAAACGGAGGAACCTCCTGTGGGCTGGGTGTATCATTATGCGAAAGTAGGCATCCTATAAAATGAGGGACACGAACCAATCCCCTTTGTCTAGAGCTGGAATGACTGAGGCTAACATGACCATTTTGAATTTGTGTTTTCGAAGGTGGTGGTTGAGCCAGCGCAGGTCCAGGATAGGCCTCCAGCCTCCATTCGGGTGAGGAAGTACTGGGAATAGAGGCCTTTCCTTTGGAATTGATCTGGTACCCTCTCCACTACCCAGACAGTAAGGAGGCATGAAACGTCTTGGTGCAGAAGAGGTTCGGGAGAGGGATCCCTGAAAAGGGACGGGGAAGGAGGGGCAGGAGGGGGCAGAGTAGTGAAAAGGATGGTTAAGCCCGATGTGAGGATCTCTCGCACCCAACGGTCGGTGGTTATAGCGAACCAGGGTGGGTAGTATGGCCTCAACCAGTGATGGAATAAACCGCCTGTGTTGTGCGGAATCTCTGTAAGGGGGATGGCACGCAGTCCTTCAATTGACACGTCAAACCTGCTGCCCGGCGTCTTATTGATTGGACGCTTTGTTGGGCTGCTGGTGACACTTCTGTGGACGTTGTCTCTGTCTGGGTTGGTCATATGGCCTAAAGCGGGGCGCGGCATAAGAGAACCATCTCTGCTTATTGTATCTCCTGCATCTGTACGGTGGCGTGTACATTCTCAGCATTCTCAATGTGGTGCAAGAGTCCTTGCCCGGGTGGAATATTTAATCAGTATTTTGGGCAAAAAGCAACTGTTTGTCAAAAGGTAAGTCCTCTACCTTTTATTGTAGGTCTTTTGGGACCAATGCGAGGTGGAGCCAGGAGGCGCACAAGCATGACCACCGAGAAGGCCGTAGTCTGCAATGTCGAGGGTGATCCATAGCGCTGTATAGCCTTCCTGGACAACCGCTTTCAGCATCTGCCTCTTGGCATCAGGTAAGTATTCTAGTAGAGCAACCATCTCAGTATAGTTGAAGTCGTAGTTGGCGAGGAGAGCCACATAATTAGCCACTCTCAGCGTGGTAGTGGCAGACGAATACTCATCCAGAGTCCATCTGCGGCTGTGGACGGTTAGGAGGAATTGGCAGGGCCAGAATGCGCGCCACAAAGGAGCGTGAATGGCGCGAGATAGCGAGCGCACATAAGCAGTCTGGCTGGGCTACTGCTAATGAAAAATCTCTGACTTGCAGCAGAGGGACGAGCCTAACACCTTCAGTGCAGCAACCATAGGGACACTACTCGATGAAGAAACTATCCATCCAACTACTAAAGAAACTAACTACTAACTAGAAGAATTGCTATTTTATCTTCTCAAACCAGGCAAAACACTGACGTGGATCTGCAGCCAGGGACGATAGAGAAGGAACTGATGGGTGGCACAACTGTGGACATGATCCAGTAAGGCGCTAACACCTTGAGGTGCTTACGGCATATGCACAGCCCTGTGACTAATGCTAGGGAGACAGTGCTAGGGAGAACTGATTTAAAAGCCAGTTTCCCCACAATACTGCCTCCCACTCCCCCCCCACCGCCTCTGATATAGAGGCAGCAAGGGGTGAGGGAGAATGCAAGTGGTCCAATCAATTACCCAATCGCATCCATAATCTGGCCTGAGGCCCTAAACCTAAATCCTCCCTGCCCCTTCCCCTACCATGGAGCTGGAGCACCAGGGGAGTGAGGTATTTCAGTTGGGGGCCATATAAGAGAGGGTTAGGGGATTCTGGATGTAGTCATCCCTCCCCACTTGTGTGGTCCCCAACTGATTTTTTTGTGGGTCAGTGGCCCCCAACCCTAAAGACAATGTTGAAACCTTTTGTGTTGGACATAATATTTTATTCTATTTAAAAATGAAGCCTGCGAATAAGACTCCAATTGGCCCAGCCCCCATCTGACCACAGCATCATAACACTCCTGCACCCCCCTCAAACCAACCCTGAACCCATCATATACCTGAACCCCCTGCCCTGAGTCCCTTACATCTCCACATTCCCAAACTCATGCACCCCCACACTCCCAGTCCTCTGCCATAACACTCCTGCAACCCCACATACCATAACTTTGTGCCCTGAGGCCATCATACACCCAAGTCCCCTGTCCTAAGCCCTTCATACATCCCAACCCAGACTCCTGCACCTTCACATCACCAGTCCCCTGCCATAAGTGTGACAGAAGATAACCTGAATGCACACATGAAGCTGGATTTCATTTCTGCTATTAATCATTATGTCAATTATCAATAATAGTAAGTTGCATATTTTCAGTCATGCAAATTGGCATTCTTATATGGCTTTTTGTTGTCAACTTTTTCTGAATTTTGATGTAGTTTGGCTCTTTGGTTTGAAAAGGCTGCCGACCCACTGCGCTAGAAGAAAGGAAATTCTTAGGAAAATGGGCCTTAATTTACCATTCTTTGCTCAGAAAAATCTATTGTTCCATTACAATGGGATATCCAATAGCAGTGTCAGAGAAAGAAAATAAATGAATAAGATAGAAAATAAGTGAAAGATGCATCTATTTAAAACAAGGGGTGATCATAGTATGCAAATCCCTGTCTCCAAAGGCAGAAACTAAGGGAGACAATGCAATTAATTTATTAAAAAACACACACACACACACACACACACACCTTAGTGAAGCTCTTAATGTTACCTGGTGGTCACCCTACTTTTCTGTATGCTGGATATGCTCCTTCAGGACAGAAGGGTACTATGGCTCTGAATAAATGAGCATGCATATTTGGAGGGCGGGGAGCAAATTGGCTTCTACCTTTTACAATTTCTGAAATATAACAATTCAGTCATCTACTAATTCAAGCCTTGCTAGATGTTATTAAATTTATTATCTGAGGTTTAGAGATCACAGCTATAGAATTCCTGAATTGGATTACTGCACTCAATGTTAATTTTTAGCACTCCGACATGTCATTTGTGTCTGGAGGTCTTTAAGGTGTTTCGTCCACATGGGCATAAAACAATTTCTTGTAACCAGGTTAATTTTGGGAGTAATGATTTAGAACTATGCCTCATGAGAAATGCAGTAATCCAGTGCTTAGTTTTAATGAAAGATGTTAGGGCTCACATAATTAGGTACCAGGGCCGAAGTAATTTTTTTTTGTAAACTTTCGTAACTGACTCAAACTCCAGATGTCCTAGGCCTACAACCTGCCAAGCCTATAGATGCCAGAGCTCAGTCTGGACAAAAATTAAGCACTGCAATGTTGTCTTTCCTCAATAAGATCTTAGTTTCAATAAATGTTCGTTCCTGAAGTAACTGCACCCAGTATGGCAACCTTTAAGGATAGCAAATCCATGACACTTCTGACCAGGAATTTTACAAGATGCTTAGAGCACTGGATACAAGAGCTAGCTTCCAAGAGGAGGTCCTTAATCGGTATGGATTTGAAATGTATAGCACTGAAGAAAACATGTCTGCATGAGGACAATCCTCTCTAGTGAGCTGGAAATGATTAAATTTGGATTTTAGAGTCTAAGGCAGGGGTTCCCAACTTGGGGTACACATACCCCCAGGGGGTACAAGAAGCTTGTTAAGGAGGTATGGGGAATATCTGGTAAATAACTGGATTATCCTAATTGAAATATTCTAAAAGTAGTAGTGTTAGTGAAAAAAGTTGTGGATTCTAGAGTCTAGAATTTATTTCCTTTCATATTGAATAGAGGGCATGGGAAGGTTTACTAAAAGCCAAGGGGGTAGGGGGACCGAAAAAGATTGGGAACCCCTGGTCTAAGGGATTAGTACAATTTTAAGATTTTACTGCAAGAGCTCTTTTAAAAAATTGTTCTGCCCTTGCATTAACTGAATCCATCTAGATAGATATGACCCTCAAAGATGCCCTGAATATTTTAAATATTATATTTTATTATATTTATTATTTGCAGATTATTATTTTAAAGCCAAACGTGTTGCAATCTAAATAGTGTTTTAATTGACACTTATGTATCCACATTTTTTTCTGGGTTTGGATACAGAAATTTGTCTTTGGGAGCAAATACTTGTAGAGGAGACATAACTGAGGGTAGCTGTCAGTAAATTGACCATGAGAACCAGAACAATGTGGGGCCACTCAACTTACTTTTGTGTGTGCACACTTCCATCCTGGAGAACAGCGTGGGCAATAAACGACAGACGCACATTTTTAGCTATAAAAGAATATCGCTACAATCATGCCATCTGAATAAGACCTGAATTTCTTTGCTGGGGTTTGGAAACAAATAGATCAACTGAAGGCCAGACTACTTGAGAAGGGCTGTACACTTGTCTCTCCTGGATTTATCATTTACTTTCTTAAATACTTGCTATGATGTTTATTCTCATTTTGCATGTAGTGCTTTAGAAAACTGAAGATGCTTCCTCTTTCTTTTACGGTAGGAACAGAGACAAGGTTGAGGATCTGGTACCTTCTTCCTCATTGATAAAAGCCAGTGCTGAAATGTTAGAAGACATCACCAATACATCTTTGCTAGCCAGGACTGGAGCTATCATCAAATAGTTCTAAACCTGTGCCTACTGATACACTGGAGGTCTGTTCTTTCATTAGTCTAGAATGGTATTGTTCCCTAAAGCTGACAGATTTACTACACCAACCCTCTCTGATTTCAACATACTGTGACCTTCTGCATATCCCTTGGCAATGGGACAAAAGGAGAATGGGGATGATGGATCCTGTGGGCTCAAGAAAATTAGAGGGACTTTTAGAGAAGAACCATGTAATCATTTTTCTCCTTCTCCCCCTCCTTTCACCCCCTTCCCATATTTATTCTTGACAGGAGTGTTGGAAGTCCAGATCCATCTGAAAAGTGGGTTGTGCCCATGAAAACTCATGTTACCAGCTGCAGCTACGTCTAGACTGCAAGCCTCTTTTGAAAAAGCCTCTTTCGAAAAAGAGCATCTAGACTACAACCAGTACTTTCGAAAAAGCAAGCCGCTTTTTTGAAAGAGCACCCAGGCAGTCTGGATGCTCTCTTTTTGATTTACTTTCGAAAGAACACAGCAGTAGTCTAGACGCAGGGGAAGTTCTCTCAAGAAAAGGTCACTTTTTTCCAAAAAACCCTGTAGTATAGACACACCTGCCATGTTTTGTTACTCTTTTAAGGTGCTACTAGACAATTTGTTTTTAAATTTTTTCCTGTTACAGACTAACTCTGTTACCCTTTGAAGCTTTTGAATATGTAATAACACACTGAAGTATGTTGATGAAGAGACCTTTACTCTCAGCCAAGACATCAAAGCCCTGATAGATGCAACTGGAGTTGTAACAGCACAGTAAACTATGGCCACAAGCTTCTGAATATATCAACTGCAGAGTGACTGTTTACTCATGGATAGTGACAAATCTGTTTTATTCCATGACAAGTTGCATAAAGGCTGTTTTGTGGGCTTTTCTAAGAAGAGTGCACCAATTAGATTTTAAAATATGTACAAATGAACCAAAGAAAACAATGATAAAACAATGAAATGTTGGTAATCTCATGAAGGCTGGAAGGTGTAATAGTCACCTTTTATTCAAATTAAATGTAAGAAGCACTTAAGTTGCTTTTTGGACTAAAACAGATGAAAAAAATAGAATTAAACACCCAAAGACACAGGCCACATGTAAGGGCTAGTCAAGATCCAAGTTACATGGGTCAAAGGGTTCTACAGCAGACTTAACACAACAGAGGTCTAGGTGTTGTTTTGGTGGAAGGGCAAAGGTGTGCAAACATACACACTGCCAGAAATACTGCAGACACAGAATAAGCAGCAGGAACACAAGGACATCCAGATAAGTACCTGCAACATGAACCTAGCAAAAAGTGGGATCTTTTTCAGGTAGAGTACTGTACTGACCGGAAAGAGGCTTAGAATATTGTGGAAGCAAACTATCCCCTGTGAGATTCCTAATATGGTCAGGAAAACAGGACTTTGCCTACATTGTAAAATAAGCAAAACTGCATCAGAAAATACACCTATCAATGTCTTCTGCAAGACCTACACTGGTTATCCACTAGTGAAAACAAGTTAATACTAGATAGCACGTTGGAAGATGCTCTTAAAGAGAGGCCAAAAAGGTAAAGCAGCATACCAGTAATGCCTGCTACCTTTGAGAGATCTCTGGGTGGTTCATATACTATTGTGTAAACAAGTGTTCTTTGGCTCAACTAGTGGTAGAAAAAACTATTGTAAATGGCAGCTCTGGTGTAATTTAGGATCTCTATCTTTAAACATATGACTTCTGCAAGAATCCGTTAATGAACAGATTGAATCCTCACGTCTGTGGAATGCTTGGCATTGGGGAGAGAATGGGTACAGCTCAAAGGCTGTGTCTACGCTGCCAAGTTTAAAGAGCTGCCGTGACAGTCTGGTAGCGGCACCAGTGCTGGGGGCGGGTAGAAGGGAAAAGGGAGCTCTCCTAGCACTGTAGGAAAAACCACCTCAATGAGGAGTGTAGCTAACAGCGCTAGGAGCCTATTTACATTGGTGCTTTACAGTTCTGTAACTTGCTACGCAAGACAGTTACAGTGAAGCAAAGTGGCAGGATACACAAGCTTTAAGACTTTTCCCCCTCCAGGGAAAGCAGTTACCGACTGAAGCAGAGGCAATATTTCAGTCTTCATATTTTCATGTTCTTACATGGAGGAAGAGGAAGATAATCAGTGACATTGCTGAAAGTTACATTTTATCCAAAAATATACTCCAGGATGGATTTCTTGGCCTAAGATTAATTTTTCAGGTGTAATAATGAATCACATTGCATATTTCAAGCAAACAGTTACAGGTGGACACTGTGTGAGGTGTTCTCTGAAATAAGGGAAGGGAGAAGTGGCAAGAAATCTGAAGAGTGTTTTCCCACACTAGCGCCTTAGTCTTCATATCAATTGGTATATTCAACCAACTAATTAGTCCTCCAGTACTTCTAAATGTGATTTAAAAAGTTCAAAGACACACAGTAAGTTCAGTATTTCTTTGAGATACACGATCCTTACATAAATAAAGGTTACCTACTGCTCATAACTGTTTAGAAATGTGTTGCTCATGTCCATTTTAATACGTTTGAGTGTCCCATGTGCATGATCATCAGAAAGCTTTTACCCTAGCGGAACCAGTCAGGTCAACAGGGAAGCCCCCTGGGAGTGGCACCTCCATGTTGGCATATAAAAGACACTGCTGACCTTCCTTCTCTCCTCTCCCCCCTTCTCCCTCCCCCCCACACACAACCTACCCTCTCAGTTCCTTCTTGCCAGAATACTCTGACAGAAGGGAAGTGAGTGGGATTTGGAATGGACATGAGGAAAACATCTTGAACACCAATTACAAGAGACAGATAACCATTTTTTCTTTAAGTTGTAGTTCATGTTCATTACAATATGTAACTCACTAGCAGTTTCCTTGGAGGAGGGGGTTGGAGCGCACCCCGTAGCCAAAAGAAAGACAGGCCTACTGAAAGCAGTGTCATCACTTGCCTATTGTATGATGGTATAATGGGATGTGAAAGTATATAGACAACCATGGCACTGCCTTACACATCTCCTTTATGGTGAAGTGCGTTAGAAACACTGACAAAGAAGCCTGTGCTCTCATAGCGTGCAGTCAGCAATGGGGGCAGAACTTTTGCCACGTCATAGCACATCATTATGCAGACTGTGATCTAATAGGTGATGTGCTGACAGGAGATGGGAAGTCCTTTCGTTCTCTTGGAGATGACAATAAAGAGCAATGGTGACTTACGAAACTGCTTTGTGCTCCCGATACAAAAAAACAAAAACACATCAAACTTCCAGAGTGGAGTATGCAGTCTAGTTCACATGAAACTGAAACCACATTTGGTAAGAATAACTAAACTTTATCTTTACAAAATACCATGTACCCAAAGCTCGAAGTCCTGATGGAGACCTCCTGGCTGATGTGATCACAACCAAAAAGGCCACCTTCCAGGATAAGTATGAGAGGGGACGAGTGGCTTTGAGTTTGAACAGTGGACACATTAGTTTGGACAGTACCAGGTTACCAGATTGTACCCACGTCAGGCAGTCCACCTTGTCCCTAGTGCCTGGTCAGGCCGGGGACTGTGGAACCAGGTGTTGATGGGAGGTCAACGTCTTCCCCACATTGTTCCTTAGACAGAGAAACCGCAACGATTAAGCTTAATGGCAGAGCCAGAGCTGCTACGTAGCTTATGGGTGCCCTGACACCAGGCAAACCCCACTTGAGTCCCTGAGTGGTGACTTGATAGGCAGCCAGCTCCCCTCTGGCTACTTGTGTTGCACCAGGGATTGGAAGTAGTGACTGTGGGTGGTGTTTCTTTGGTGCAGAGCTGTCCCATAGTATAGCAAGATCACCAACACAAGCTCCTCCTGATGGAAGCAGCATGTCAGTGCTGCTCTTCCTTCACTCAGGGATGGAAGCTACAACAAATAGGGCACTTGTCAATCTGATGGCCCTTACACAGACACTTGAGGCAAATCAGTGTGGCTTTAAACCCTTGGGAGCACAACATACCCCAGTAAGGGAAATTAAGATGGGGAAACCCCTAAACAACTAAAACTGCTAGCTATTCTACCATAACTAAAACCACCAACTAACTGGGCCTACAAGTAGGTTAATTGCGAGACACTTGCGAAGCAAGAGACTGGAACTGTTCCAACAACCATCACTGGCATAAGAACTGAGAGGGCAGGGAAACAGCAGCATCTTTGCATACACTGCCATGGAAGTACCACTCCAGGGGACTTCACAGCTGACCCAACAGACACCAATGGGGAAGGATGGGCAATAATTCCAGAAGGGGCGGTGGGCCTCAGGCAGAAGGGGTGAGGTTGAGAGCTACCCTACCAGAAGCTTTGCTTGGCCTGGGGTCCCCGCCCCCCTGACTTCTGGCCAATGGAAGGGACCTGGAACTGAGGGGAGGGTGCCAGAGGCTAGTCTCCTCCCAGAGTTGTCTGGGATGGAGGCTTACATTCCCATATAACAAGGCTTGCAGCTCCTGGCCTAGAAACAGTTGAAAGGCCTCGTACCTCTGGGCAGCTCATAAGCAACGGGCCAGTGGGGCAGAGCTGTGAGTTCTTTTCAATTGCTTCAGTTTAAAGGGCTTGCGCCTGCTGGTGATTGCCAGGCATTGCAGCCACCCCATAGGAAAGCCCTTTAAATAGAAACAGTTCAAAGGGCTGAACTCTGGCTCCCTAGCAATGCGCTAGAGGTGCAGGGAGCTGTGAGCCCTTTTAAGTGCTTCTATTTAAAGGGCTGGCACCTTCCCTGCACCTGTCATGGGGAACACAAGAGCCCTTTAAATAGAAACATCTGAAAGGGCTCGCAGCTCATCGCGCCTTTAGCACATTGCTAGGGAGCCAAAGCTGCAAGCCCTTCTAACTGCTTCTATTTAAAGGGCTTGCTCCTTCCCTGTGGCTGCTAGGCAAGGCATGGGGAAGTCACGAGTCCTTTAAATAGAAACAGAAGGACTCGCGTCCCTCTCCCGCTCCGAGGCAATGCGCTACAGGGCAGGATCTGGAACTGCCTCGTGGGCTGGATCAAAGTCCTCAGCAGGCCTGATTTGGCCTGCTGAGAGGATTTTGCCCACTCCTGCGCTAGGGTGAAAGCTTTCAGTGAGGTGTGCATGTGTAGCGCACACCTATTTCAAAGTACACAAACCATTTCTCAAAGAAATAAAGATTAAAATAAAATCTAAAGGTTCTCAGGGCATCTCCATTTATAGTCCAAAAGAGCCTGCCTCCTCAATGCTTAGCAGTAGCCAGTACCTCCTTGGCCTTAAGATTCAGCTTCCCATAGCATCAGACAGAGCCTATGTGATTTTAATAGCTATAGCTCATTGCTTTTATTA